CCCCCCCCCCCCCCCCTCCCAGCACTGCCTCGTGGTACGCCGCCCGGCCGGCTGGCGGACTATGAATGCAGCCTATGAGAAGAGGAAAGCACAAATTTGTATATTGACCGACCCAACAAATTATTGAGCTAGCCACACCCATTCCAAAGATAGGACCGCTCGAACGGAAATTGGAGACCGAGAGGTTTTCCATTGGATTTCCGAACTTCAACAATTCTCGACAGACTAGTAGGGTGGTCAGGAGTCAGGTCAGTGAGTGGACCAGCCAAGCGAGGTGAAATTAGTCCTTTGTGCCAGCCGGTGAAAGACTAGAAACTTAGAACTACAGTTTCGAAGCAGATCGAGTCCAATTAAACGGCGTACTCAAGCCGCAAAGGCCACCACCTCATGAGCTGCTGTCAGCGCTGTAACTCATTTGGAAGTAGAGAGTTTCCAAAGCGCGCTGGCTACCACATAAAGCAATATACTCCTTGGAGCTACTTACGAATGGAGGTTATGAGGTCGTGCACTTCTAAAGCACACCTACCACTCCAGCATCCCTCTTATTTTGTAAATATCTACCACGAAGCAGACAAAAAATAAATTTCCTACTGCTACGAAGGCAAAAAAAAGTTGTATGAAGTGGATAACCTGCAACACATTCACTGCCCAATACCATTGTGGATTCAAAAGTAGTACAATGTACATGTAGAAGAAGAATAGTATAGAGACACCATACATGTACATACCGAATATCTGAAAAGCGAAAAACTTTATTCTGTTGGAGAANTTGGAGAACAGTTTTAGCATACCACCTACCATGTCTTTAATAGTGACTTCTCTTTCCTCTTCTTCAGAGAGCACATGTGAAAGTTCAAGAACGACGGCGGAAATGGTAAGAAATAGACTGTAGAACGCACTGAGAGCACTTGAGATGCCAACACTGAATATAAGATTCTCTGCTTGTTTTTATTTCATGAAAGTTTCAATGGAGTGACTATCTTGGCAACCCCAAGAGAATTGATACCCACAGTGTGCGGAATAAGAAATCTTTCTCATTCCGACGTCCAGTCTTATATAATCTCTTCTTCTTAGAAATGGAGCCAAGATTACATTACTGGATTACTTTTACATACATACCTATAGCTCTCCTTTACAGGTTCATAAGTTTGCGATGAAAGTAGCTTTTGTGAAGTCCTTAGAATAAAGGTGTGATCTCCGAGAACCTTTTTTCTTTGTACTCACACAACACTTATATTCATTCACGCGACTAATTTAATCACATCTTGAGTAACTTGTTCTCGATTTGAGTCAGTTACCCAAAGAATAGTTTCCAATCACAACAAACAATCGCCATTCTGTACGAAAGGCATGTGTAATCTAGAGGGTGGAGTGAAATAGAGAAGGAGAGCCCGCCGCCATCCGGTTGCAGACTATATCGCAATTTTTTTACATAGGAGTTCCTCGTAACCGTTGAGAGTGAGCACCCCTATTGCTATAAAACTTTTACCTTCGCCCTGAGCTCTGCTTTTTCCGAAGCATCCTGTCCTCTGTCTTCACAAATTTGTTGACATGTTTGCAAAACTAGACAGATTGGTTGTCCTGTAGGTGCCTTTTCAGAGTTTAGGGATTAAACGGAAAAATGCGGAGGCAGCTCTGAGTCGTCCTTTGCGCTCCAATCAGGTCAAACTCTCAACTCTTGAATTCATTCTATTGTGAGTATAACGAATGCATTGAAGTTTTCTCTCTGTTTTCATTCTGGGAAGTGTGGGAAAGTAAATCCACTCTTTCTTCTATCCGTAGAATAAAAACCTTGTTCAGTACCTTAGTTTTGCCGAGGCAGAAAATTTTCTCCTACTCCGAACCCTTTGAAGCGACAAGGACCCTTTCGCTGTGAATTAGTACTGTTTTCTGAATCTGCGAAAACCGTGCTGAGAATGTGGAGAATGTCGAAGAACCGTCAAGTGGTCAAATCAAAATGTCAATATGATCTACTTGTTTGTATCGATTTGTGGCACGGCGAAACGCCTACATAAGGGTGCACCGTCGCCACTAGGACTCGGATTATTTGTAGCTTTTTCTTTGGGATATCTTTTCCCGCGTTGTTTTTTGTTTTTTTTTCGATAAAATGCTTACCCTTGTGTTCACCAGATCCACACGAACCCACAAAACCCACAAGAATTTTTACGAAACACAGCCTGTGTATCCCGCTGTTGCTCTTGATTTCTCCAATGTTTTAAGAGATAAGTGAATGGTCCTTTCTCAAGCAGCCACATGGAGTACACTATCTAGCGTGCAATTCTGCAGCTCCCCACAGTTCCGCGAATAAAGGACTGACAAGGCAGGGATAGTAGCATGTTCGGACGTCCTACCAAAATTTAAAAGCTATTCGAAATTATGGAGTTAGGTGATGGATGCCGTTACAATACGCGAAGAAGCTTGTGACCTTTTCTGGAGGAACAACGACGCGATTTCTTATATTACAATCCATAATATTCTTATCTCATTATGGAACTTCGCTATGATCCTGCAAGAGTATTCACCAAAGCATCGGCGATTTGTGAGGGATAGTACAAACAACTCAGTGGAGAAGTGTTGCTTTGCAAAAGTAATATACTGATGTCAACATGTAACTAGCACCTTTATTAGAGTGGCGAAAGAGGTGTTAGGGGTTGGCCTGTTGTGCATGGGATTGAAATCAGTCGAAGGACACTTTGCTGGCGCTTGATCTAGCGCCTGATCTGGCGGGACCTAGCGGGAGAGAGTGTTAAGGTAGTGGTATTAGGCCGCAACTTGACGAGAGTTAAAGGGTCGGGGCAGTACGCAGCGAAACAAACGCGCTAGAAAAGGTATTGGGTGTGGGCCGTGAGCAGCGAGGCTGGGAGTAGGAAAACTAAGTGTGGCCGAGGAAGGGTGTCGTTTGAGCGCTCCTGGGGTCCCGCCGTCACCGAGGAGGAAAGCTGCATACTGCTCTGGCAGTAAGTGTTCAGATTTAGTTTCCTTTTTTGTATTCTAGTTGTATTTGTTGCAAATGTGAGATTTGAGGTTTTTTGTTGTGTCAGAAATTAAGTTATTTCATTTGATTTCTTTTAACTATTCTTGAGTAAAGAATTTTATCACCTACTTGTGTGCGGTCTATCAAACGGTACGCAACCGTAAATTTCTGGCTTTCTCATTTCAACAACTTACAAACCTAACTACAGGGGTATGAAACGAATTTCGTAGGCTCAGGAGGTGTACTCACGCAGCGAGCCAAATGACTGACTTCCTCTCGTAGCTGCCATTTCCATTTTTTTAAAATTGATTTGATGTGCGTATCTCGAGTTCTATCTCTCGATCTCGCTAGAAGTGTCTGCTTTTTTTGTCAATATATCCAATCGCGAACGCACATTGAGGGAACCGAAGGTCCCTACTTGGAAGCCGGAACAGTCTGGGTATGTATGAAGAGTAAGCAGTAGCCGCAGTAGGTTTGATTGAGAAAATCAAACCGGTTGAAGCAGTTTGGCTCCTTAGACAGGGCTATCCCAAGCTGTTAGCGAAAGCAGCGTTACCATGTGATGTGGGGGAGCCAAAGCTATTTGTATTAGTCGCTGATTCTCAACGGTAGGGGAACCGAACCGAAGGGGAATGTGAGAGGAATAGTTCCGGGGAATCGATCGACTGCAGGCACCGTACCATCGGGCCGTAAAGAATACGTCGAAATAGCGAGCCTATCAGGACGCTCGGAGTACGCTTCGAAAGACCGATAATGGAGATCAATTTTTATGACATCGGGGTCAAAAATTATTGATGGTAAATTGTGTACGGATTCGAGGTTCGAGGCATCGAGGACAATATCAACCCCGAGTGAGGACGTTTTGGTCAAGGGAGATAGACCAGTCAAACGACACCTCGAGTTTGGATTGTCGCAACGACGAAGTCATTTCGAACAAAATTGCTTCGGTCATTAGTATCCAGCGAATAGTTGTTGAAAAGTCCATTAAGAAGATCTGAATTTATACCGTCACTGCTTCTTCAGATGATAGACCTAGACAGTTTCTGAAGTAAATAAAGGCTCAAAAAGTGCAGACAACTATTGTTCGCAGTTGCGGAGGGATGCGTTCGGATGTAGCGTGAATCGAAGAAATCTCACTGTCGAAGAGGTGATGACATTCAAAATAATCGGCAAATAACTTCAATGTGAAAGGAGTCTTAGGAAATTGAAAAGAATAAACAGAAGAATATTACCGAAGTCAAAGATGGCTCAGGCAGGGATAACATCTGAAGGCAGAACAGCTCCCGTTTTTGGTCATGGAAACGTCAAAGAACTATTATACTTACACAAATGTTATGCGGAAGATACAGTGAGTGTAACATATGTCAATATCATGTACTGCATGTATTGCATGATCTGTTGCCATATACCCCTAACGTACAGTATTCTTATCTAGTGTCGTCAAAAAGTTGAAATCAGAGTTTCACAGAATCGAAAATAAAACAGGAATTTTCACAAGTAAAGGAACAGCATGTGTCAGAGTGGACATTCCATTGGGCTTTGCCCCTCTCATAATAAAGGCTAATAAAGGCTAGAAGCAAAAAGGATATATGTTGGCTCACGATTGTGGTGATGTATAAAGAAAATAAGAACAGCAAGGCCGAATTTTCCACCTACGCACAGGGAGGGAAGAGGATCCGGGTGGATTTTACGCAATGACCTCAAAAGGACTGGGACTAGGAGACACTGCGTTGCTTTCTGAGAGAAGCTCGTTTATCTCTTCGTTTCCCTCTTATTATCTATTTTTGAGTTGTTATTTCTCGACTCTCATGATTTGGTTCCATTTATACGGATACTGCCTCCTGCTCATGTTGCCTCTCACGCAATACTGGGGGCCTTTGTGTAATACTGGTGTTCTGTTATTGCTGTAGTTACCCGCTTTGACTATCTCCTTCGAAATTCTTTTCGGGCTTCCCTTACTATCCAAACTGATTTCTGAGTCGATTCTTGCAGTCTTTGGTGTTTTTTTTGTTTTTTTTCCAGTTCT